CCTGAAATGGAGGCCACCGTGCGGGTGTGTGTCAACAAAGAGGGTTTCTTAATTCAACATACAATAATTGTTTAATTAAATCCAATTTAGATCCTCATTTGAGAGCATTAAAATGTGCGCCTATGACTTCCTGTCTCGAGAAAGTAATTGGAGAGATGAGGAGGGAGGTACAGAAGAACTGCATCTCTACAGCGAAGCAGGCAGGGGATTCACAGGAGAGCAGGGGGGAGACAGCGAGAGAGGAATCATTTGTTTCCAGTTCAACTTTTAAATATTATTACTGCTATCAAATATTGATAAGAACATAACCAAGCTGCACAGATCCCTTCCTCACAGCTTCTGGTACACAGCTTTGACAAACAACTGCGCTCATTCCCTTTTTCTACCCATTTTAATATTTATGATGGAATTAATTATTAGCACGATTAATCTTACAGGAGCACCTGAAGATCCTACTCTGGATGGGGCGTCCCTTGTTCTGGGATCTGTAGGCAAACAGGGAGCATCTACTTGTGCAATTAATGCACACAAATAAACTCCAGTGCTTATTGCTCCGGGGTTTGTTCATGCACAGCACTTATGGAGCCTGGTCGGAGCAACCTGGACTGGCAGTGGACCCAGGGGGTCAGCTTGCCAGCCCAGGGCTGCTCCGACCGGGCTCCATGTGCTGCGGCGGGGCTGACGGGGGCACGAGGGTGCTTCAGCTTGGGGCGAGTTGGCATTGAGACAGTTTGAACTAAGTACCTGCAGCTCAAACCACTAGTGTCCTCTGTGGCTCAGCACCAAGAGCCCCCTTTCCCCCCCGCCAGCGAGCTACCGATGCTGGAAACAGATCCCGATGCATGCAGACTGGGGGCAAACTCCTCACCAACTGCTCTGCCAGGGCGCTTCAACCCCAGACAGCAGCACCTTTGTACGGCCGGCTCCCCGTCTCGGCTAGGAAATTGCAGATGTGTTCATAGATTCATAGATTGTAAGGCCAGAAGGGATCTTGGACAATCATCGGGTCCAGCCCCCTGCACCAAGCCGGAAATGTTGTTACGGGCTGCCACTTTGCACCCAAACTGCAGCAAAGAGGGTTTCTTAATTCAACATACAACAATTGTTGTCCACCTCCTGCCTCCTTGGACCACCCATCACAGCACCAAGTACCCGGTGAGTGTTGCAAGGATCAAAGACTACCAAGCCCACTTCCAATTATGACCTGAGCCAGGACCCAAAAGTTGTTCAGCTTCTTGCCTCCCTCCATCCCTGTTGCTATCACTCTTTTGCCTTGACCTTGTCCTGGGACCTGCTTCTGTGGGTGGGTGGGTTGTAACATTTCGATTTCCTCTGAGCAACTAACACGATGCTCCGAGAGACAGAAATACGTGACCTCTTCCAAGCTGAGCTAACATTACAGCGGCAGCCTGTCTATTCTCATAAGCCCTTTGCTAGGGGACTAGGTAACGCATCTAAACACCATGCAAAGGCATCTGATGTGACCACGGGGAAGGTGCCAGTCGATTGTTTCCACATACGAGAATTGTCATTGAACTGCAAGGTGATTAATTAGGATCTTGCATCACATTTACTGGGTATTTTCCAAATCTTCTAAGACTTAGAGGAATCTTTTCATTTATTTTTCTTGCGGGTCATCAATGTCATTTTTGTTTCCTCACACGCACATTAGATTAGATTCCCACACATGCATTAGATTAGTGACACTCGCACACATACATTATGTATGAGGATTGTATCCTAGGGGCTTTTAGCTAACCAAAGAGAAATATTCAATATTACTGGGCAATACCACCAATTCCAAGATCAGATGCATTGCTGCGCGGTAGCACCACTGCAACAAGTTGCATCACTTTGATAGTCTACCTGATTTATCACCTGGATGGATGTTTAATGGTCGTTCTCAATCCAGCATCATCACTGATGGCAAGGTTTTGTGCATCCCTTTGGCTGCATTATCACCTGCTATGCAGCTGCAGGTGACCAGAGAGAGCGTGCATCCCACTCCCTGGATGAAATACCTTTTGCAAGCTATCCTGTTGCACCAAGCACTGTCGTCTAGCTACAGCTCGCTGCTCCCTAGCCCAGCTGCCTGCTTCTGCAGTCACTGTCTGCTCTTAATACCAGATTTCTATTAGACTGAGGCTGCTGCAGTCACTGCCACCAGGATGCGGACACCTGTAGCAGGCTGGATCCTAGCTTTGCTTGCCACGGGGCTGTGATCTGGGCGGCCAAACCACCGCGTTCGTGCTCAGCCCAGCTACCCCAGACAATGTTCGGGGATACAGGTAGCTCCAACAACAGAATATGCTGTGTCTCCATGGGAACAAAGCAACCGTGTCTGCATTTGGCAACACATGCATCCTCTTCTCGATGGGCAGGGACCACCGAGGAAGCAGGGCCTTCATCCCGCAGAAATCAAGGGATGAAGTCTGAGTCTTGGCCCTCGGGGGAGGAATTTGCCATTGGGTTGCGGAGGGGGATAACTCCCTGTAGGAACCCGACACCTGATTTTGGAGCATCCAAAAGGACTAGGCTTTTGACCACTTGCTCTTCCTTCTCCAAGGCTAGGAAGGTGGAGTATCCCCCTCTCCCCAGGCCTACCAAACAGCTGCTTTTGATAGCCTTGGAGAACAGAACAGGGCAAGCTTTTAATTAAAAAAAAATAAATGAAGAGCAAGTGAAGACGGGCTGTTGGAGGGCTCTGCGTGCCTTGATCTAGGACAAGGTGTCCTACATAAAACTTAAATATAACACGCTGCTTGAGAAGCTTCTCCTCCCTACGGGAGGCCGCCTGCTTCCAATCAGCTGTTGCGAGCCCACCTCTCCCTCCTGCCCGGATGACGGAGGTTGCCGTAAGCATGAGCGCTCTCCTCGTCCCGCTGTCGTCGCGGATGTCTGTGGAGTCACAGTCCTCCGTGACAGGCGTCCAGAGGGACAGATGCACTGGCTTTGACAAGACAACCCTGCCTTTTGGATCAGGCTCCCCAGCACCTGCCAAGTTACCTGCGACCGGGTCGGAAACGGGAAGCCATCTCGCATGGGTTGCACCCTCCTCGGAGAGGCACCAGAAGGCTCTGTCCTAACCTTGTCTAGTTTCTTCTGCCAAGAAAACATCATTCAATTGACCTGGAATAGTTTCCCTGGCTTGATGAAATCCTACTAGTTGGCAAAGCAAAGGGATATTAAGGGGAATAGAAAATCTTTACAGACATCATTAGCTACTACAGTGAAAGAGTGGCCAGATCGTTACTCGCCTCTCTTTTCTCCCAGTGCTCACTAAAGGACTCCATGAATCCAAATCCCTGCAGTTTGCAAAACCTCATAGAGAAACAGCTCCCTCCTCCAAAGAAATACCTTGTATATTCTCACACCCTCTACCCAGGTTGTTTTTCAGGAAGACATTTTTTTCCTTTGTGCATTTCTTTACAGAGAGAACAGTTTATCTCCATCCCAGTCTGACCCTCTGCATGACTAAACTGCAGAGAGGGTGTTTTGGAGAATCAAAAGGATGCTACAAATGTGAGCCCATACCCATCCACCTGGATTCACATAAGGAAGGGGTCTTCCATCCCTTTTGTGCCTATAGCCAGTTCTCAAATGCATGCACACCTATGCATGCACAGGGACATATGCACACACGCACAGGGACATATGCACATGCACACACGCACAGGGACATATGCACATATGCACAGAGACATATGCACATATGCACAGAGACATACACACATGCACGCACGCACAGGGACATACACACATGCACACACACAGAATAAAAGCACTTTGCATAACACTGGATCCAACTAAAGGATGCTTCAGGGCAGTGTTTCTCGACCCGCTGGCTATGACCCAAAAATGGCTTGCAAGAGTGTATAAAAGGGTCATGAACAAACTTTAAAAATGGATCGACAAACTTTACAAATGGGGAGAAACGTGGGAAACTTGTGGCTTTTCCCGTGCAGGCTGGCAGAGTTCCCACCTGCAAGGGGCTGCTTGGGACCCCTGGCCCCACACACTGCGGGGCTGTGGGGGAAAGCGGGTCAGGATTGAGGGGCACTGGGTTGGGGCTGGCCACCAATGTTTACGAATGGGTCCTGGTATAAAAAAGGTCGAGGACCACTGCTTTAGGGGCTCCAACCCTTCTCGCAAGGCACTGTGCCTCTCATCACAAAAAAGGAGCCTCATAGCATGCACTGTGCAAACCACGGCATTTTCCTGTCCCTTTTATGGGGCTTCGTTATCATTGCTGCTAGTCCTAACATCATCCAATGCTGTATTCTGGATGCTCCCAACTCTACTACAGAACAAGATGCTGCCCCGTGGGCTGTGCTGTGCTTTCGCCGCGTGCCACGAAGCCCTTGAACAGCCCCGCAGAGATGACGCCCGTTCCTGAAACACTTCCCCGACTCTGTTCACAAAAGCAGGACTTGAAACCAGAGCCCTTGCCTTTTGCACCCCGCCTGAGGCACTCTTTGTTTTAGATCCAGTCTCTATACGTCCATCAAACTACCCTCTACAGTGGGGCGCTCCTTAAAGCAGAAATGGCTGGAGGAAGACGGGTCCACGTGAAATGATGCTTTCCAAAGTCATAGGTGAGGGGGTGGGGGGATCTTTGCTGTACATCCAGGTCGCAACAAATAAGGGTGCCAGGGTTGCAAGAAAACCTTGACATGAGACGAGCGGGAGAGGTTCAGGGAACCAAAAGGAGGAACTGAAAGGCTTTTATACGGCACTTTAAAATCATCAAAGGAGAAACTAGAAGACATCCCGTGAACACCTGCAGAGTTGCCTCGCTCAAGCCTCCAAACAAATCAAAAGGAATTACAAATCCCCGGCACACGGTTTCTTTGCATAGGCTTGGATGGAGAAATTTCAAGTTTGGAGCAAGGGCTCCTGTGCCCGGCCTGCCCGGCAGATAAAACCCGTGTGGGAGGAAAGGAACAAAGGAAAGAGAAAGAGAGAGGAAGAGAGAGGGGGGCCAGAAAGCCCTTACTTACAGGTGTATGTCATCTCAAAGCTGTCGCTGATGTTCACAATGTCGATCTGGGGAAGCAGTTTCGGGGGTTCTGTGAGCTGAGACAGTGCGAACCGAAAAGCCGCATGCTCCTGGGACTGCTGATTAGGAAATAATCCCCCTGCGGAGACAAAAACAAGACAAAGCAAAGGCCTGAGAGGTGTTCACGTTGCAAGGCGCCGCGTTGCCATCATTCCCTGGGGGGGATGCAGCTGCTGCCCGGGTCGACGAATGCCACCAAATGGAGACACCCGGCACAAGCCGCGTGTTGGGCATCTTTGTCGGGTGGGCATTATGTGATCCACACAACACAACCGTGCCGGCCCAACGGCCCCCCTCGGCATGGCAGTCCTAAGGGAGGGGGCAAGCCAAGGGGGTGCCTGCATAACTCCAAGGGACGGACCTAGACATGCCTCCGTGCTGCTGTCTTGCAGGAGGAACAATAACTTTTGTGCCCTCTCCACAGAGGCCAGCAGCAGATGTAGGCCCAGTCCTGATGCTACCCTCCTTACTCAGCCAGGGGGGCGAGTTTGCTCCATTTAAAAGGAAAGGTATGAATCCACATGAAGCCACGCAATAGGACCTGGCCCTCGGTGAATGGTATTTAGGGGCCGGGAGGAAAAGGAAGCCCAAAGATTGCTGTCTAGGGCACGTGCTGCCTGCACGGAGGAAGTTTGCTGCAGGGAAACCCGTGTCGTGCCGAACAGGTGACAGCGGAGAAATTTAGCCAGACCAATCAAAGCCTCAGCCTCGATGGGGCTTGCACCAGGTGCACGCTCCAGCCCCAGAATTGCAGGGCAAGGGGACAAGGGAGCAAATCCGAGAGCAGGGCCCCGCTGGATCCCACATCCCGTCTCCCGCCTCGGACCGCGGGCAGCAGAGGGAGGCACAAGGAACCGGGAAGTCGCCAGTGATGCCACAGCCTAGCCCAGGTTTCCTCCTGACCTCCAAGCCCTGAAGCATGAGCATGTCTACCCTCTGCTCATGCCACACTGGTTGCTACAGGTCTGAATTTCCTCATGCAGAAAGGCAGGATGCTCGCCCCCATTTTGCAGGTGGGGAAATGAAGCACAAAGGGACTCAGCGGCTCCATTCACTCCAACTCTCCCCCGCCATTCGCTCAGAAAAAAAAAATAGATAAAAAAATCAGCCACAGCACCGAGATCTGCCCATTGGCAGGAACAGCACTTTGCACGTTTTCAACCCAGATTACATCTCCCGCGAGTGCGGAGGGGGCATCTGTGCACCCGAACCCCGTGCCTAAGTGTTGCTGCCTCAAGGGAAAGCCAGTCTCCTGGTTCATCTCTTTAAATAAATGGGAATGCACTCGAGAGGCTAGAGTTGGGCCGGAGGAGGGGAGGAAAGCAGCATCAACAGCAATAAAAGCATCGCTTGTGCTCCCGGACGGAGGCAGGAGTTCGGTGGCTTAGCAAAAGGATTGCCATTGCAAAGAGAGGGGCTTTGGAAATGGGAAGAGGCACAAGAGAGAGACAGGAGGGGACCCTGTGGGACCCTGTTGCTGCTAATGGTACGGGAACCCGGACCAGGGGTACAGCGGCAGCAAAGTGACACCACTGGGGAGGGAAAGGGTGAATAAAGGGGCCATTGCCGACCATAAGGGAAAGGCAGCTGATGGAAAGAGAGCCCTGAAAGCAACATCTTCCTAGACTAGTTCTGCCCTCATTCCCACAGTTACAGAGTGTTTGTGGTCCTTTCCCACCTTGCACCTGCAGAAACCTTGCAAAATGGGTATATATTGCAACAGGGGCTTCTCAGTGACCCCCCCGCCCAAGCCCCCACTCCTTGTCCTTTCCTGAGCTTGCAACAAAACACCCATCTGCTTTATCGTCATCATCATCATCATTATTATTATTTGCACCCTCCATTTCAGATGCACTTTTTCTGTTGTTCAGGCATTTATTCCCTCCCGAATGAATCGATCCGTCTCTGTGGCGATGAGCCCATCGGAAGCCGCCACGGCTCTACGGCCAGCCAAGCCCATCCTGCCCGTTACACGGACCCACAGCCTTTCTTTGCAAGCAAAAGGAACGAATGGGTCGAACGCCACCCCCCCGGCGACCCTTTCTGCTCGCCCGAGGAAGTCATTCGCATCTCCAACTCACCTATCTGGATGTTGTTGGGGAAATTGGCCCCTAACACCGTCCCTAGGAAACCGGTGCAGAAGAAAGCAAAAATGTGCTGCATATTCCCTTTTGCATTGGCGAAAAAGAAGCCCAGGTCCAAGCATAGATTTGGTTTTCTTCCTCTGGTCTCGCTCTCTGTCCGCGCCTCCCTTCTGCTATGCCTTCGGTATTGTGCGTCTCCCTCTCTTGGAATCCAGCGCTTCGTCTGCTGCTTAACACCAACTGACAGCAGGATTAACTGAGCGCCGAGAGAAAGAAAGGGAAAGCGCTCTTCATGCATAGCCCACCCCCTGTCTCTCCCTCTCTCTCACATGCACACACTGTGCACTTCCCACATGCTAATTTGCCTCTCCTTGATACAGCTCCATAGCTGGACTCCAGCCTCCCCCCATCACCCACCTCCCCCCGCCACCCTTTTTGGTGTCCCCTGCTTTGTCTTTGAGGGCGATTCATGCGTATCCCTAAATCACCCTTCCTCCCTCCCTTCTTCCCACAAAGGAGCTGTGCAGATGTTCGGTGGGTGGTGAAACTCCTCCAGAGCAAGGTCTCATCTCAGCTCCGCCGTCTCGGATCAATGTATTCCTGACCGGGATGCTCAGGGTCTTGGGAGCCGGCGGTCGGATTGCTACCTACCAGGCACAAACAACCCAGACCGCAAAAGAGGGGCAGGTAGCAGAGGTGCCGAAGGATGAAACGGGGCTTTTCTTCCTCTTTCCAATACTTTTCCCCCTGCCCACTGGCAACCTGCTCTCCCTAGTTCAATCTGGCATTTTATTCCTGAAGGAATTCGTGCAAGCCGAGTCAGATGGGGATGCTATCAAAGCTAGGAGGGTACTTTGACCTGAATAATTATCTGAGCCTTTTCATTTTTTTTTTTTTTTTTTGGCAGCGATTCTATGGAGATTTCAAGCTATTTTACCTTTAATAGCCTTAATAGCCTGTTTTTCTCTCTCTCACACACACATACACACACTTTGGTTCAATTTGGGATTCAGGAACATTGAGGGCAGAGGCACATATCTTGCCAGTGACAGCCCATGAGCACCACGGTGAGGACAAAAGCATTGTTTGATTATCATTAATTTGCTTGGGGTTGCATCTACAGGCCTTTGATCGAGGCCAGGGATCCATGGTGCTAAGAGCTGTTCAGGTATATCTAGCCAGGACAGTTGGGAAGAAGGATGAAGATGGCGAATGTGCGAATGGATCTCGGGGTGTCCAGACACCCCGATAGACTGGACGGAGGCTGGTGGACGCACCACTGGCTGGGACACAGCACTAGGAAGAGTGTCGGGAGATGAAGTGGAGGATCAGAAGACCGGAAAAGCTAATTTCTCATCCTTCGCAGAAGACAGAGCTGGAGAAGGCTTGTGATCTCACCTGGGATAAATGCAAAGCAACCCCACGCATGGGCAGTGAAGCTGAAAACTTCCCACTCTGCTTCCACACACAGCTCATGCCGCTGCGAAGCACCGGACAGCAGTTGCTGGCGAGTGTGAACTGAATCCTAGAAATCGAGGGTCGGACGGGACCAAAGGACGTCACATCTAGTGCAACCCCCTGCTCCAAGCAGGACCAGCCCCAAATGTATCATCCCAGTCATGGCTTGGTCCAGCCGGGCCTTCAAAACCTCCAAGGAGGGAGAGTCCACCACCTCTCTGGGTAACCTGTTCCTGGGTGCTTCACCACCCTCCTAGTGAGAAAGTTTTTCCTAATATCCAACTGAAACCTCTCTTGTTGCAACTTGAGCCCATTGCTCCTTGTTCACCATCTGCCCCCACTGAGAACAGCCCAGCTCCATCCTCATTGCAACCCCCCTGCAGGGAGCTGAAGGCTGCTGTTCAATCCCCTCCCTGTCTCCTTTTCTGCAAACAAAATCAGCCCACTTCCCTCAGCTTCTCCTCTTCAGTCATGTCCCTCAGCCCCAAAACCATTTTCATCACCCCCCACTGGACTCTCTCCAACTTATCCACATCCTTTCTGTAGTGGGGGGCCAAAACTAGATGCAAGACTGTCCCCAGGGAGCAGGCAGGGCACAGGGCAGCTCCACAGACCCTCAGTAGCTGCTCCTTAGGTGGGTGGAAGAACAGCAGCAGCTCTGACGTGATGGTCGGCAGCGATGGATTTGTGTAGTCTTGGGCACAGAGACAATACGGCAGCACATTACCAAGCTCCTACACTGAGTCCTCTGGAGCATGGAGACCCTCCACATGCTCCTTTCTGGGAGGATCTCTAAAGACGCTATTCCAGCACATGCATTTCTCTCAGAAGCACACAGAAGTCAGCTTTATGATGATAAGATGACTTTCACATGCCTGCCTTTGCCAAAGTATGTGACAAGCAATTGGGGCGAGCGCCGATCGGAGAGCGGCTCTGTTAGCAGCCATGGCTGCAATGAAATATTCAGGGCCCACGATGTGTTGGGCATGGGACCTTGCCTTAATGAGATCTTGTTCAGGGCACAAGGGATCTTAACGGGGCTTTTGCTAGAAAAGCATCTTTCAGCTGTCTGGTGGGCAACACGGTGCAGAATATTTGCCCATAGGTCCCCAAGATGATGGCAGAGTATGCCAAGCATTTTGGCATTGCTCTGGAAAAGGAGAGGTTTCACCAGGGAATGGGTCCCACTGCTTTCAATGGGACCAGGGAAGGCTTCGGTGCTGAAACACTTGCTGTGATGCTTTGCTGGATGAAGGCCGGCAGTCTGCAGTAGGCTCATCCCAAGACAGAGCAGAAGGAAAATGCATCTGTCGACCTAAAAGTGCTGCACTGCCCTTAAGGGGCTCTCAAGCAATCCTTTTCACTCTGACATCTTTTTCTTCCCTGCATTGAGGAGATATCTCCCTGAACCTGGGCATTTTGGTGCAGGGCATCAGTGCAGATTTGGTGGACAGCTGCAGGCAGACAGAAGGATGTGCACTCTGCTTGCACCTATAACTAATTTCCATTTGCAGCCGACTGGCACCACCTTGATCTAATTTCCAGCTGTTTTTCTTGTACGGTTTAAAGTGCCGCCTCTTGGAGGCTGAGATTATGTCCTGAAAGGTTTTGTGGATTTCTGCTTCCTAGACAACATCTAATAGAAAATCCTCTGTTTAGGAGCTGAAAGAGGAGGGAGGTTGCCTGCCTTCCCAATGCCCTAACGGGAAACAATCATGGGTAGCAGCACCCATAATACTATGCAATAATAGAGGCAAAACTAATCTGCATTTCATGTCTGCATAATCCTGCTTTTGTCCACCTTGAGCCAGGAGAATATGTCGAGTGCACTTCACCCACCAGAATGTAATTACCCAAGTTGAAAGCTGGCCGCTGTATCTCATATCGCGTGGTTGTTTTTCCTTTTCTATGTAGATCGTGGTGCTTTATCTGGGGTTCATCGCCACACAGATGGCAGGAAGTAACTCCAATTATAATGAAGACAATTTAAATGAACATGGCAGAGCAGTGGTATATATCTCACCAGCTTTTGGTGAGAGGCCAAATTTCAGTCTCGGAGAAACTGTTGACGTACTTGGGTATTTCGGTAATGGCCATGACCCGTAGAGTAGGTAGGTTGATGGGGTCCAGCATGCAGCATCATTCAAGTCTTGGCTCTACAGAGATTTTATCAATTTGGAGTTGGACAAATACGGACCGGTGTCTATTCCATGACTGTATATGCCATAGCAAATAAAGCATTCACCCCAGTCTGTATTTATTTCAAGATGCTGCTTTGGTGATGACAACTCCAGAATAGCCAGGGGTCTCATCACAGGGAATAAAATTTAACTCGGATCCACTAAGGTTACCTAAAAGCAACGAATGGCAAAGCTACATGCTTATCATAGGATGATTAACCAGGTCTTGGAGAATGAATTTAGTGAAGAGGGGTGGCACTTTGATACTGGGTACCAGTAAAAGCATTGAATAAAAGATTGGGCTTTCTAAAGAAAGGTCATCGTTCATGCTACTGGCCAGTTTCAAAGCCCCTTCATCTGTTTTTTAAAGACATTTATTGGCTATAAAGGAGAGGATGCATTCATCCTTAATCCAAACTGTGCTGCTTGTCTCCTATAAAGTCTTCAGGGCTGTTCTTCCCATCGCTTTCAAGGCTTGGATTTAGTCTAAACTATGCGCGACAAGGATCTTTGAATCCTGTGTCAAGGAACAGGCTGTATTGGATGCTGTCCTGAGTACATTCACCCCTGGGATCTCTAATGCACTTTGCATGGCCCTGTGTTGCTCTCCCACTGCTATGGAGGTGAATCTGGAAGAGAAGGCCCAGCCTTAACTATCTGCCCCTGTGCGTCCAAGTGAGGATATAAGCAAAGCTACGTTGCTGGGGGGGGAAAAAAAAGAAAAGAAAAAGAAAAGGCTGATTTCCATGCAAATGTTTCAATCTATGAAAAATGGGAAGAAGAAGAAACCCACAATACAGCTGACCTCTCTGCAGAAATGCTGCTGCCTGGATGTTCCTTGTGTCTTACAAGAGGCGCCCTTGTGCCTTTAAAGAGGCTAATGAAATAATATTATTTTTTGAAACTCCTTTTATTTTCTGGTTGGACAGTCTCCATAGGAGATTGCTGATAAAGGGCAGGATATAATTATAATGATTAATTTAAATAAAAAAAAAAAAGCAGCTCATCCGGCTTCTTGTAAAGCCTCCGCATAAATGAATGCTAATGGTGTCGCTTCATTTGAGACGCGGCTTTTTCTCTTCTTACCTAGCCGCTCCCCTCACTTTTGTAATTGGGGATTATGTAAGTCTGCAAACAGGAGGGTCAGGGAGCGTCGGGCTGCGAGAACGCATTCAGGAGGAGGAAAGTTTGGAGGAAAGGATGAGCGACAGGCAATGCTTCGCTGTTACAGTTGTGTCTAAGCAGATGGCTAGCCCATCCTTTACACTTTGGTTTGGCTCCTGAACGTAGACCAATGTGCAGAGGTATTAGAGCAGGCACGAGAGCATGGATGGCCCTCTGGATTCACACACCGTCTTCTAGAAGAGCATGCAAACCATAATCCTAAGTACACCTACAGTCACTTATGCCCACACACCCAGAATCTAGGCGTCTGCACACC